ATATATATATTATGTGTGTGTGTGTGTGTGTGTGTGTGTGTGTATAAAGAAAAATTAAAGATGTGTCATGTGCATGTACTAACACCCTGAGAGGGAAGTAATCATCATGTATTGCAAGCATGCACTAATAAAAATTAAAAATAGAGAGAAAAAATAATTTCTGAATGACAGTGTTCAAAATACATAATTTAGAGGTGATTAGGTATAAAATTTATTCTTGAAAGTTCTTTAAATGTATTCCATTTTGACTTTAAGTCCTTACATGATTCTCATTAAATGAGGAAAGGATGATTTATCAAAACTTCAAACTAAAGTACTTGGTATTCATATCAGTTAGACAAGTCAGAAATGATGGCACTTTAAAATTTCTTATAAATAACTGCAAAATTGCATTCTATTTCACAGGGCCAGATATATTGCACAAATTCGAATTTATGTATTACTTGTATTTGTAAACTAAAGATTTCATAGTATACAGTATATGGAGTGGGGGAAATATACATTTAGCTACAGTCATGCACTTTCTAATTTTATAGTTAGAGTTAGTGAACCAGTTGATATCTTTAGACTTTATCAACACTTTTAAAATGTATGCTACTACCATTTGGGTAAAATATATTTGTTTACATCTGTGTGGGATATCTCTGATGACATAGGAATCTGATAACACAGATTACCTTGGAAAATTGTGGAAGGAATTTGTCACCACTTTGTACACTGGATTTTAATATCTATGAATTTAGGGCTGGGGATTTATCTCAGTGGTTCCGGTGCCTGCCTCACGAGCACAAGGGCCTGAGTTCGATCCCTGGTACCCTCCCCCAAAAAACTAAACCCTATAATTTCTTATATTATTGAGAAAACAAATCTCCAAAGAGACGCCTCTGAGTTTGTTTTAGGATGTAAAGGGGATAAATTAATTCACTTGCTTTGTAAACAATGAATTCAACTGTGAAGAGAGTAATAATATTGTTTTTTTTACTTTAGAGACTTACATCCATTCATAAGATAGCCTTGAAGCTTTTATGACCTGTGACTTTAGCCTTTAAGAGACTCCATTTTTAAAGGGGTCTATACTTGTTTCCTCTTTGTCTCATCACTCAGATTCTCCTTATAGTCTACATTCTGTTTGTCCCTCTCAACTAACATTATATTCTTCAGAGTCAAAAAATAATTTCCTGACAATAAAATGATATTTTCTCTGGTTTCCTAGTGACTCTCGTGCTCCATCCAACACACAAAAACTCTCTGTGGCTTTTATGGTGTAACATTATCTTTCTTATTCTACTTTTCCTTTCTAATAGGTTTGTTTCATATATTTAAGGAATGATTTTATTTTTGACAAGCTGTGTGCCAAAGACTAGAACACTCTAGAAACCATTCTTGTTTTAAACTTCAGGCTTTTAGCTATAATAGTTTAACAATCTGTCATACAAATGTTATAACATAATCATATTTTTACTTTTTCTTTTTGTTTCTTAGTTTTTGTTTTGTTTTATTATTTATTACATGTTTGTAACTCATGCAGTTTAGAGTCCTCTTAGGGAGTGATTACATGTACACACCCCAGCTTGTTTCTATTTTTAATCTCCTTCCACTTCTCTCCCTTTTCTCTGAAGCCTCCTCTAATTCCCCTAGCCCAGTTTTCATTCTTGTGGATATTATTAATCTTACTTCATATTATGTCATATAATACTTACAGTAATTGAGGTTATTAGGTTCCTGTACATGGCATATCTTTATTCTACTTGTTTACCCTTCCCTCCTCCTCATCCCTCACACTTTTCCCCTTGGGTCACTTCCCTATTGCAGATCTATCCTACTGTCCCCTTCTATCTGTCCTTTATTATTCTCATTGTGTGTGCTTTGGCTTGCTCACATGAGAGATGTGATGTGATATTTAAGCTTGTGTGACTGGTCTTGAGACTTTTTAGTAAGTTAGTTTTTTAGTAAGTTATATGTTTCTATCCACAAAGCCTTTTTATGAGGTAGAATTTTAAGTATTTAAAAATGTATCTCCTAGGGTTGTTCGTATTTTAATTCTTTTTTATTCTCATGTCAGTTTTGCCAATGTACCAATCTATCTTCTATTACACTGGGACATTTGCATTTATTTTATAGATTTAAACTTGTTATTTCACTATACAATAGATACAGTCCAACTTTACTTGTGACTATATTCACTTTTTCATATTTAAACTTACATTGTATTTTCTTTTTTTTTAATTCAGGTAGTAATTTCTCTGGTTAACATACTTCTTAAAAGAATCACTTGTCAAAGTTCTGTTGTAATATTCATTGCAACAGAACTATTTATTAATTTTTCCCCTGCTGTTCTTAGTTTTTACCCTCTTGAAGTGCATACTTACCTAATTTTCTTTTTTATAATTTAAGGTTATTAATTTGTGATTACTACTTTGTCAGCACCCGGGTGTTTTGTTATTTTAGTTCTGTTATTTTTCTTGAGTAATTACAATTTTGTGAGACAATATTTTCATTTTCTTCTTTAACAATAACACTATTTTTAGAATTAATATTTTTCCTTTTTCACTTAGTAGAATATACAGGTTTTAAGTTACCAAGTAATACTCTTAATTTATTTCACATTAAATACATTGATAAATTAAATATTTTTAAAGAACACAATTTGAAGCTGTGGAAAAGGAGAAGAGAGAGAAAGAGAGAGAAGGAGAGAGAAACAGACATGGTAGAAAGCTTCTCTGGATAAGTAGGTAGTATTCGAAATACTGAATAGTCTCTCTGGTGTGAAAATCTATAATTGTACACAAGATCCTAATGGGATAATTAATAGTGTGAAATAGGAAGAAAAGGGATAAAGGTGTAGGGAAAGTGGGAAGGGTAGGGGAAAGGGAACAGGGGAAAAATATGAGAAAATGAAAAAATAGAAATAAAGTGTTTGTAAATGGGGAGAGGGGGGTGAAGGGAGGACAGGCACAAGGGGAAAACATGAGAACCAAGACCTGCCAAGTAAAGGTACAAGATGTAATGACTGTACAAGGTAATGACTGTAACTGTATTGTATACCTAGATTGTACCAATAAACTCAATAAAAAGAAAAAAAAAAGAAAGTGAATAGCTCCAAAGGTATTGATTCTTTAGGAGAAATACCTTCTCACATTTGTATATCTCTTTATTATATGGTAAAAAGTCATATATATATATATACACACACACACACATACATATATACATATATTATATATAGCATATATAATATATATATTATATATATTATATCCCTGTTAATTATTTTCCCTGTTATTGTTATATTTTTTGATTTATTTGTTTATTATTATTTTCTGTGGTACCTAGTTTTGAACTCAGGACCCTGTGCTTGTGAGACAGGTGTGGCACCACTTAGCTATATCCTAGGTCCATTATGTGAATTATTTTTAACTCAAGATAAAAGTTAGTACAATCTCTCTGATATTTGTATGAGATAGTGTCACTAATGATTAGAATAGTTTTTGTTTGTTATGCAATGCAGAATTTAGATGGGCAAGAATATTTTGTTTTATAGTTTTTATAGTGTATTTATTTATTTATTCATTTATTTTGGTAGCTGGATTTTCTCAGGCCCTTGTGCTTGCGAGGCAGGTGGTGAAACCACTGAGCCAAATCCCCAGCCCCTATAGTATATTTACTTTACAAAGAATAGTTCTTACATTTTTCTATACGTGTTTAAAATATGTGTATTACCATTTTCCAAAATATTTGGTGAAAGTCTATTTGCATTAATTTAATTTGTAAATGTCATACATTTTCTGCTCAAAATCTAATGCAAAAGATCTAATATAAGCAAATCCTTTTCTTGATAGGTTCTCTACATCATTATATTTTTCACTATGGTTATTTGAAGCAACTCCCATTATTATGTGTAACATTGGAAAACATAAAATTAATTTACAACTTGACTAGAAGGAGACAACTATTCATTAATAGCTAATAAAATAATTTTACCTAAGAAAGATAAATATTTTAAAAATCCTATTTTATTTTCTACCTTGGTGGTTCTGGAAATATTTGGCCTCTTCAACCAAATTTTCTATCAGAAAACATAAAGAACATGTTTATTGTTACATTTAAAAGAATAATGGAGGGCCAAGGATTTAGCTCAGTGATGCTGCCACCTGCCTCGAAAGTTCAAGGCCCTGAGTTCGATACCCAGTACAAAACAAACAAATAAACAAAAAAATCTATGTAAAAAAATAATGGATATCACATATTTAATTTGAAGTAAATGTTCTGCTCCAAATATAAATCTTTATCCTGCATAATATATGTTATTACAGATGTGAATATATATTATGAATATAAAAATACGTTTTTCAATCAAACTCCAAAGTTTTTATTATGTGGAGCTTTTGGCTTTGGATTTGAGTGTATGTTTATATATATAAAAGTACAGAGTTGAAGGAATAAAAATACAAAATGTCCACCATGTGATTTTTTTTTGTAGTGTTAGATCCATTTGAAAAATAATCTTGAGATTTTATAAAATATCAGCTACAGGAATGTTTTTGCCTTCAGTAATTGTCTTATAATATTAAGATCAGTTAAATACTGGAATGTTTTTGGTTTCAGTAATTGTCTTATAATATTAAGATCAGTTAAATTTTACACATCTCAGTTAAATTTCTCAATCAGAATGTAATCCAGGCTTATACTTTTGTCAAGCTTATACTTTCATTCAGTTCTTTCTGAGAATGTTGGATTTATTCTATGGAAAGCATTCAGTCTTAAGACTTTTAGGAAAGAGAATTTTGAATAGATTTTCAGTAACAGAGGAGTCCAGAGCCTGACATTCCAGTGAGTACTGTTATTGCTCTGTGCTCATTTCCACTAGGAACTGCTGCAAAATCATAAGTATCATCCATGTCTTCCTCAAGTTCTCTACACAATTAAATGAAGTCTTTCTTCTTACTCTCAGTTTTAGAAGATTGACACAAAATGTCATGATAATTTCTATACATCTATACACAAAAGGAAAAAATCTCCATTTTGTCTTCCCCAGTTTCCTAAGATGAAATTAACTGTAGAAATACAAAATGTCTACATCTTTCCTACATACTTACAGTTATTCATTCTAATATGGTAGAAAGATTAGGATGTCTTTGTCTCCAATTGAGAATTCACAAAACACCATTACAGTATTAAACTAAACTTCTATTACACACACACACACACACACACACACACACATCATTTCAGAAAGGATGAAAGGTCTGTTTTGAAATGTATTGCTAAGGTAGTAAATGACTACTCTGCTTTGAAAATTTCATTCTTACTCAATTTGCTAATATTTCATTTAGAATATTTTGACCTGTTATTTTCTTTTATATATATTTACATATATAGAATTGTATTAAGATTATTAAAATAAGTTAGAGAATTATCCATCTTTCTTTTTAATAAAGTAAAAGTTCATTAAAAATTAAAAGAATTTAAAATTTAACACCTCATCATTTGAAACTTTAAAGGGATCTAATTCTATTAAATGTAATAGTAATATTCACTATTATCTTCTGCAAATTTAATTAATGTTTCAGTTTACCAATGCCATTTGATGTGATCAGACTTCTGAATATTAGTTATTAATCTCACCTTTATTATAAACTTCCATCACTTAGTCTTTCTGGTAATATAAAAATAGAATTAGTTATTTTAGTAAGACAAAAAATAGTCTTCTGTGATTTAGTCTCTTCTCCCACACTTCTCTATCCATCACTTGGTTTGTACTTTCTGCTCCAGAAACACTAAATTGCCAGCCTCTCAGAGGCAAGATACTGTCTAGGTCTTTTGTGCCATCCTGGAGTTGTGAGGATTCAAAAAGTCAGTGATGCAATACATGAAGTTCTGTCCTGAGTAAATACAAATGCTGACTGCAGTCAGTGGCTCACTGGTAAAAGCTTTTGTCCTATATAACTCTAATTAGACAATATCATTTAGGAACATATACCTTCAAAACTCAAATAACTTACCGGGCATTGTACTTTTTTTGTGGTGGGGAATGCAAAATGCATATATTTACTTGAGAGAGGATAATTAGCTCATATTTTATAACTGGTTCTCTAAATTTCACATGCCAGATAGTCACTAATTGTCGGGTTCATGTGTCTTCAAATCCCTACGATGCTCATTTCTTCTTGCCCATCCTGACTAATCTGCTTGACATCGTAAATATAATGGGTCACATTGAAGTTCTATGGAAAGTCCAGATTCCTTTAGACTGTATGTGTCATTTCTGAAGCTGACATAGCCCCTAGGCAAACTATCAATGAATATGCTTCTTGTTCTTCCCTGAGCAAGAACTGCTTTTGATTCATTTTCTAATTGCAATAGTAAAAGTATGCATTTACTAAATCTGTGGCTACATGTAGTATCCCCTTGGCGTTTTTAAGTCTGCCTTAGCAATAGTGCCATATCTGTCCCAGAAAATGCAATTTCAGGTTACTCTTTAAGTAGTTTCCAAACCCTCTATAGAAACTCTCAGATCCTAGCAAGGGCCAAACTGGTGAATTAAACAGTGATTTGATAGGGACCATTGCCTACTTTCCCCATCTCACCTGCACTATGGATAGTGTATATTGTTTCTTTTACTCTCTCAAAACCTCAAGATGTTTTCATGTAGCCTTCCCACCTATGAGAGCTATAATAACTCTTACTGCATACACTAAAGATTTAACATAGGCATTACTTCAACTGACAGTTATAACATTTTCAATTATGCTATTGGAGACTAGGATCTTGACTAAAATTAATCTCTCCATTCTTTGAACTTCCATTTACACATGTCAATCACACTGTTTTATGTTACAGTTATGGTGTATAGATATTCTGTCCCTTCTTAACTACATAGAGGCAAGGACTGTGTCTGGCAATGATTTGTCATTTCATTGTTTCAAATGCTTCACATAGCGCTTTGAACATTTTTAGTGAGCTACAAAAGTTTAGTGACTTGATTTTAATTTTCTTCTGTCTTTTTTCTGTATTTACTCCTAATATAAAACATGTTAGTATTCTATTTATATGTACCTTGTTGTTATATAAGCTTGTATGCTAAAAGATGAGAAGGTCCACATATTCTGTATGGACTTTTATAGGTAGACTTTTTTGACTAAATTTATTTTGATGTCAAGTGTTACGGTTTCTATGCCAAAATATTACTGTTCAACCTGTTTGATGTTGTTTTTTTTAGATAAATTGTGGTAAAAGCCTTTCAGTGAATGAAATGACTCTTAGTACTTTGAAAGAAGATGGTTACAAAGCTGCTTTTATTGGAATAGGTGAGTGGCTTACTTCCAAATATGTTTGTTTATGATATATTTTTAATATTTGACAAAATCTCCCCAGAATTGTTACCTTCAGAGTTTTTAATCTGTATTTTTATTAGTACACATTTGCTGAATGGAATGTTTTGTAAGGAGTTGGTACAGGTATAATACACATTAATTACATTTTCCCTTCCCTTCCCTTCCCTTTCCCCTTGCCCGTCTTTCTATTTCTTGCTCCCATTCCATTTGAGAAAGGTTTTTCTTTCCTATTATTTTTTTATTTTGCTCTCTATTTATATTTCCAGCAACTCATATAAGACAAACCATGCAATATTTAACCTTGTGTGCCTGATTTATCCCACTTAACATTCTTGTACGAAGGTGCATCGAATTTCCTAAAAATGACTAAAATTTATCCTTTTTATGGCAGAGTGGTGCTCCATTGTATGTAAGTAGCACCTTTTCATATCTTTTTATCAGTTGATGGATGTGTAGCCTGCTTTCAAGATTTGGCAATTATAAATTGTGCTGCTATAAATATGGGTATGCATGTGTCACTGATGTCTTTAACTCTTTCAGGAAGATACCTAGTAGGGGAATAGCTGAGTCAAATGGAAATGCTACTTTTATTTTTTTCTGGAAACTCCATACTGATTGACACCAGCTGGTTGCACCAGCTTACTTACATTCCTACCACATATGTAGAATGGTTCCTTTTGCTTCTCAGCCTTGTCAGCATTTGTTATTATTTGACTTCTTGATAACAGGCATTTTGCGGGGGTAGACTGAAATCTCTATGTTGTTTTAATTTGCATTTCTTTAATGGCCAGAGATGTTGAACATTTCTCCACGTACTTACTGGCCATTTGTTCTTGTTTTGTGAAGTGTCTATTCATTTCACTTGCCCATTTTCTGATGGGGTCTTTTTGGGGGGTCAAATTTTTTTGAGTTCCTTAAGTCTAGGGATTAGTGCTTTCCGTGGAGAATAGCTGGCAATTATTTTCCCATTTTGAATGTTGTATTTTCATTCTGTTGCTTGATACTTTTGCCATGCACAAGCTTTCTAATTTGATATAATTCCATTTGTTGAATCTTGGTACTTTTTCCCGTTTGAGTGTGTGGTTGAGTTCAGAAAATCCTTGCCTACACCTATGTCTTCAAAAGTTTTACCTACTTTATCTTCCAGCAAATTAAGTATTTTCTATATTAACATTTTACTTCTTTAATCTATTTTGATTTTAGCTTATCATAGGAGATACGGATCTAGATTCAATCTAGATTCAATCTTCTGCGTGTTGTTAGCCAGTTTTCCCGGCATCATTTATTAAAGAGATTGTCTTTTCTCTGGTGTATAGTTTTGGCTGCTTTGTTAAAGATAAAGTAATTAAATATGCTTGCGTTTGTTTTTGAATCCTCTGTTCTATTCAGCTGACCCTCATGCCACATTTTCTATTCCACTGTCCTGCTGTTTTAATCACTGTACCTATGTAACATAGTCACAGATGTGGACTGTGATGCCTCCTGCTTTACTCCTGTTGCCCAGTGTTGCTTTTGCTATTCTGGGTCTCTTCTGGTTCTACATATATATTTTTTAATAATGGGAGTTTTATTTATTTGTTCAGGTAAATACAAACAGTAATGACTTGCCAAATAACTAAATTTTACTTATATAGCCATTTGGGTGGCATCACTTCAGCAAGGCAGGCTTTTATCTTTTCATTCTCCCAGCACACCACTGTCATAGGGGGCCATCTCTGGGAAGTACATTGTATTCATATCATGCTGTGGAAGCTCAGAATCTGTCTAGATTATTTCGTTTTATGATAACACAATTATTAAATTTGATAATGCACATCAGAGTTAGCTCTTTTTCTATTTTTTTTTTATTTTTCTGAAAGTCTCAGGGACATATATAGCCATGTATATGTCTACAAGGTTTGTGTATTTTACTTAAATATCCCACATATGTTGTGTTTTCTAACCTCTTTTTCTTCTACTAATTATTTACTGGGCCAATAGAGAAAATAGCCAATATAATTTAAACTTTGTCTTATAAACTTTGTACTTATTTTCTCAAATGATTGTACCCTGGACAATGGAATGTAAAAAACTGAAACTCAGTACAAGTTCATCCTTGTCTATCAGCTTTTCTCTTCTGCAGTTCACACTTGGTGCACATGAGTAGCTAAAGGATAAATATACATAGAGATAAAAATCTTCCCCATCTTTTTATATGATGACACATTGGAGAACACTTCTGTTGGGGCTGTCCTCTTTCTTTGCATATCTAGAATTATTTCATCACTAGTACTTCTTTGTCAATTAAATATTTGTTACCAAAATACCACATACAATAACATTAGATAATTGGTACCAATTCTAAGGGAGGCTCTGTCAGATGAAAACTTAGAAAGAAGTCTAGGTGTAGTGGTGCAAGTCTCTAATACCAGCAAGTCTGGGAGGTTGAGTTAGGAGGTTTATAAGTTCGAGCTCAGCTTGGATAATTTACTGACTTAGTGAGACAATGTCTCAAAATAAAAATAAAAACATCTGGTAATGTAGCTTAGTGTGTAGGCATTAGATTCAATTACCAGTACCATGAAAGAAAAAAATAAAGATAGAAATTTATACTGGCTCCTAAATTTTGTATTGAACATCATTCCTTTCAGAATGTTGTGATTGCCATTGCATGAATATTTGCTACAGTATTTTCATTTAAGTTCAGTGATCATTGTATATATGAAGAATAAGAAAATGTTCTGATGTTGTACCTAGATTTCATCTTTAGAAGTTCTATACCAAACTTTAGTCTTACTTTTCACTATTTCCTTTGTACTGAGAATTAAATGTAAAGAAACACAGCAAAAATCCATTATGTGAATACCAACAGTATTCACTTTAAACGTTCCTGTTACTTCCAACAAGCATATATTAAAGAAAATGAAACAATTAGCCAGACATTAAGTCTGGAGTATTAACTATTTAAGATTGATTACTGACCTTTCCTATAGCAGTTATACATAAAAGATATCTTTCCACCACTAGAGTAGCATTGACTAGTACTACTACATGTATCTCTATGATCCATGTCTACAAAATATGTCCGAACTGAAGAAACTGGACCAAATCAATAATGAATGTATTTAAATCACACCAAATTAACTGCATAAGAAGAAAACTATCACAAAAATTTGGAGAAATTAAATGGTTTATAACTGAGTGATTCTAATTGTAAGAAATGACATTTATCTGAAAGAATAACCTTTGAGAATTTTATCTCATTCTATTGAACTCCTTTACATTAGTCTTTGAAAATTCTATGCCCATTTTATTACAGTGGTTTCCATTTGATTCTGCACTGTGTGCATACAATGTGGGAAATGTAGACTCCTTTCATATTTATGTTGTTGTGCATTTTCATGCTGAGAACTGAATGTTTTGACATTTTGGTGTAGTGATGTGAGGAATGCATTTATGTTTTATTTCAGTATTTTGTATGAAATATATAGAAGAAAGTTTCATCCTGTCAGAAAGAAAGCTTCCGTTTGTAGAATTCAAGTATCCCTATCGTCTAGGAATGTTTATTTGACATTCTTGATTGTCGATTTGGGAATTTATGACCTTTCTATTACCATATAACTGTTAGTCTCAGAACGTTACATGCTTTTGTTCATTAACCTTGCTACGATATCCTAATTAAACTTCACTCACATTTTATCTACCCTTTTTCACTGTTTTGAGGAGTAAATGATAGAATAGAAATTTTGAATTATTTATGATATAGGTTTACCTTCTTTTTTAACTTTTAAAAAATTTTATGAATGCATGTTTGCAGTGCACGCAGTCTTCAGTCATGTTGGGCAGAGTGCACATGTACATAATACAGCTGTTTCTTTTTAACCCTCTTTCTTCTCTCTGTCCTTCCTCTCTCCTCGAATTCCTCTCTTCTGATTTTCTTTCTTGGTGATATTATGAATCTTAGCTCAAGCTATGGCATATAATGTTTACATTCACTGAGGGTTAGGCTGAAACTATACACATTATTGCGTTTAGTTCTGTGCCCTGTTACAGTGTGAGCCAACTTTGGTATCTGGCTTATATCCGTGGTCCGTGGGTGGTCTATACATTCCTGCTTAGAGAAGTGAGAAAGAGGAGGCAGCTCCTTTTCTCTATAAATTATGATGCGGAAAATATACATGTTGCTTCTGCTTTTATCTCATTGTCTACAACATGACCGTATAACATACATTGCAGTGCAAGATGCTAGGAGATATAGCTGTTAACTCCTTCTATTATAGAGAAGGAGAATAAATACAGAAAAAGGGAGTCACATAAAATTCCCTGTTACAGGAACAGTGGCATTTAACATGTGAGACCAGTGAAGCACTTAGCAAAGGAACTACTCATAAGACGTAGTGCTTCCATGTTAGCTGTATGGACAGCTTAGTGAAAATGGAGATACATTTTCTTCCTGCAGTTGAAAATATCATACTTACAGATCTCCTGTATTTGTAACAACACTTACCCTGTTTTTGTAAATAATATACTTTTTATTTTATATGACTCAGTGTGGATAGTTCAAGAAACACATTGTCTTCATGGAAATATGCTCTTATGTTTTATCATTTTAAATATTGTTCATGATATTGGTGGGGGAAATTCACATTTAGATCTTTTTCCCTAACTATTGCGAGCCAAGTGCACTAGGGAATTTATCTCCCAGAATGTGTATTGTTGTGATTCTTTTTTTGTTTTGTTTTGTTTTTTTGACAGGGTCTCATACATTGTCTTCATGGAAATATGCTCTTATGTTTTATCATTTTAAATATTGTTCATGATATTGGTGGGGGAAATTCACATTTAGATCTTTTTCCCTAACTATTGCGAGCCAAGTGCACTAGGGAATTTATCTCCCAGAATGTGTATTGTTGTGATTCTTTTTTTGTTTTGTTTTGTTTTTTTGAGACAGGGTCTCACTATGTAGTTGAGACAGACCTGGAACTCACTATGTA